GCAAGCATACAAAAAAAAGAGTGTACAAAAAAGAAATAGGGCAAAAACAGGCAATAAAATAGAAAAAAAAGTGATAATCCAAAAAGAGGGGAACAAGAAAGCGGCGAGGAAAAAAACTCAGGGGAAAAACGCGTGGTGAATGATAGTCAAGAAGGGTATTCTCCCATCCCAATCTCATCCCAAAATCCATGCACACACCCTTGCCCACAACCCTTGCCCACAACCCTTGCCCACACCCCTTGCCCATAACCCTGCCCGGTGCTCTCCCGCAGGCGCCAAACGAGCTCGCTGCCCGGTGGCTCTCGCGGGGCGCGAAGCCGCTGGTGCCGCTCGCAGCGCGGCTGGTGCGTCTCTTCTGCGCCGCGCCGCGGGGTTTGGGCCCCTCCCTTCGGACCCCTCCCCTAAGCCCTCTTCTCGATGCGTCCCGGTAGGCGCTGCTGGGCAGCAGCGTGCTCCAGATGCTGCGCCCGCCCGCCGACGGCAGCGCCGGCCACCGGCGGCACCACGCGCTCTTCGAGGCGGGGCTGTACAGCTGCAGTCCGCGCGAGGAGGCGGAGGACGACCCCGCCGACGAGACACACTGGGGGGACAACTTCGACGCGGCGGCGGCGCGCGTGGCGGCGCTGCTCTGGCCGCACGCTGTCGGTGGCGAGGCGGCGGGCGCCCCGTGAGCCGTGACCGGCGGGGTCCGGTGTACGGCTCGATATCGGCTGAAGCGGCGCGCCCCGGGGGGGCACAACACGCCTTAAAATAATCGAAATTCTTGTACACTCAGTCTCAGATCGTGAACGAGCTGGTAAATACAAACATGCCAAGCGCCTAATTGTACTTCCGCGTAAGTTAGTTTCTGAGCACTGAGGAGGCCCGAGAAGTCAGAAGAACCAAAGACGTGTGCAAGAACAGCCAGCCCCGGCTCGGACCTGGACACGAATCACATGCACAAGATGCACATGCAACATGCACATGCACATGCACATGTTGTTGTGCATGTGCACATGCACATGTGCATGCACATGCACATGTCATGTGCATGCACATGTCCCGTAAACTTGATGGCCGTGAAAAACACCGCCGGCGGGACGGACGAGTGGGCTTTGTTGTGCACACATATCAGACACATATATGCACACGAACAAGCCTAGCGTGCGGCATCACTCGCCAGAGCCGTCGATTGCTGGCGTGCGGCGCTCTTCGAGCCGCGGGCGGTCCGTGGCCGACCCACTGGCCGCTGGCGGGCACGCCACGCCGCGCGGAGTCGGGTTTCCCTTCTCGCCGGTGAAGGCCTCCTCAAAGGCGGACTCACTCAACACGCCTCGGATTAGCGCGCTCGGCAGCCGCGTTGGGGTCGTTTCGAAGCTGGCGACATCGCGTGCGAGGCTGACTTACAATCGACGCTCGTGGATCCACACCTTGCGCATGCTCGACATTTGCAAAGAGACGGGATTTGTCTTGCTTCCGTGGGCGTTCACGACGGCGAGCAGCCAGCGAGCCGCTTCCCCTTACCCCAGACCAAAGCCCCAGCCAGCCAGCCGGCTGTGGCTCCCGCGCTACTACCGTTGAGTCACGCGTCCCCGTCCCTCCAGGCAATCGCCGTCACACTGACACTCCTCGAGGTGGCATGCACCGCATAAGCCTAGACACTTCCGATACACGTGTGAGTTTTGACACGTGACAGCTGCAGCAAAGCTGTGTTCGACGTGCAGCCCCCGCGCCCCACAACAGTACTTCTTCCCCTCCGCCACCGAGCTCATCTCGGACTTCTCGGAGTCGCTGCCCATGCAGAATCTCGCGGGCGCAATGTCGCTGCTGCTCGCCTTCCGCCTTCAAGCCTCGTACAAGCGCTGGTCAAATGCGCGGCTGTACTGGGGCAAGGTGCGCGCCAGAACGAAAGTAGGTGGCTCACACCAATCACGGCGTAGTGTCTTAAGCAGCGCGGCCCGTGTGTCAGGTTGTCAACGGCTCGCGCTCGCTGCTCACTCAGCTCATCGCGAGCGCCGCGGCGAGATCTAGCCAAGATCTAGCCCAGAGACGGGCGACTAACCATGTGTCAAGCCTCGTGTGGCTTTCAACACCGTCCTTCTCTCGCCGCTCAGGCGCACCAGACGCGCATGGGCGTCTCGGCGGAGGTGTGCGCAAAATCGCACCGGCTGCACGCTGAGGTGGGCGGCTGGTGCATCGCGTTCGCCATCGCCCTCTGCTGCCGGCTGCGAAGCCAGTGGCCGCGCCACCACCCCTGGAGTGCCTGTGATGACATGAGCTCAACACACATGTAGGCTGCGCGGCGAGCGGCTGTGCCCTGTCCCCGTGAGCGCCCAAGTGCAGAGGATGTACACTGAGCTCGACCTGCTAGACGGCCACAAGATCGAGGCGATGATGGCGAGGGGGCAGTTCGACGGCCTCTACTCGCTGCTGAGCTCGCATCAGCTGGCGAACCTCGCGCAGGCCAGCCACCCGCCGCTGTACGCCATCATGAGGCTGCGCCGTTCGGTGGACGTGGCCATCGGCGCCACTGTGGAGTACTCGGCGGCGGGCAGCGAGGCCAGCAGAGGCGAGGTGAGCAGAGGCGAGCAGGTGCGCCGCAGCCGCAGCCGCAGCCACCCGCACCCTCCCCACTTGCGCCCGCCGAGTCTTTCCCTCTTCCGTTTGTGCCCTTGCCCGCGCAGACCCTCTACCTGCACACCTCGATGCTGTCGCACTCCCTCTTTGGCGTCACCGAGGGCTTCTGCGAGGCGATAACCGGATGCGAGCGCATCGTCAACACGCCGCTGCCGCCGGGCTACGTCGGCGTCCTCCGCGTCATCCTGCTCCTGTTCCTGGTGCTACTGCCCTTTGCCATGATTGACGGCATTCTCGGCTAGTCGCGCACAGGCGAGGAGGTGAGAACGATGTGTCTTCACTCGCCTTTCCAATGAACAGGCCGCCTCGCCTGAGCTTACGGGGGGGGGGGGGGG